CTGCAAAATTCAGGCGGAATCCACATAAAATTGCAGAATCTACTTACATTTGCGGAACCCGCTACAACTACCTATATTCACTCGTTGCGGAATCCGCATCAAAACTAATGTGCCTACAAAAACAACCTTACAGGAATTCGTTCATGGAGCCCACGGAAGTTGTGTGAAGAGAATCCACTTAACTTGTGGAATAAGTTTGAAGACTTGTCTCAGGAAACCAGGAAAAAACAGACACAAATTTTTGCGCCTATCCAGTGCATAGCTTGGCAATGTAAAATATGAGATCTGGAGGCCAAACTGATGTGATAAACGAGCAGTGCATTAACGTCTATTTTTAAATTCAAATATAGTTAACATAGTTTATGGATCGAACACAAATGGCGTTCGGGACAATTTTGGCTGTGTTCCCATACAAAAAATGTTGTTAACTTTTTGATCTACACATAGTGTCATTCAAAAAATACGCCCATGAAACTTAAATGCTAATGACCACACTAAGTTATGCAGGATCAATAAATTTCAATTCAAATAGTACAGAAATTGAATCGTACTAAAAATGATTTATTCAACCCATTGCATTTAAATATGAATCCGATAACTAACAAGACTGCTCGTATCAGGGCGAAGCCCTGAATGTTCCGACTGCCTTTTAAGGTTTATGGAGCAGCAGTAATAACATAGAAAATTAAATGAAATGAAACAAAATGAATTTTTTTTTTCAATTTGAAATTTTTTTAAAATCATCCCCTCACACGCCATATAAAGTTTAAAAAGATAGATTTCGTTCCTTCTAACAAATCAATTATGGCAAATAAGCTTCGTTCAACCAATTGGAATGATTTATAAGACGGATTAAATCGCCGCTTACGCGTTAATAGCGCGAATTCTATTGCGCGTTAATTGTCCCAAATTGGTCAAAATGGCCGATATTGCAATCTTTAAACCCTCATAACTTTACGCAAAATGATCACAGGTGAAATATCTTTACAAATTTAAGCTCAGGACAACAATGGCTTTCGAATGATTGAAAAAAAATCCGTCAAAAATGGCTAGTTTTAAAGTCGAAATTTGTCTGAAGAAAAAAAAACCTTGTTCTTGATTTCAACGCAAAACATTTTTGAAGTTTACATAATTGTTTCGACTTTCGATACAAAAGTAACGGAATATTTGTGCTAGGGGTGGGTTTTTTTTTCTTCAGACAAATTTCGACTTTTTAACTAGCCATTTTTGACGGAATTTTTTTTACATCCTTCGAAAGGTATTGTTGTGCTGAGCTCAAATTTGAAAAGATATTTCACCTGTGATCATTTTTCGTAAAGTTACGGGGGTTTAAAGATTGCCATTTTGGCCAATTTGGGACGATTAACGCGCGATATATTTCGCGTTATTAACGCGTAAGCGGAGAGTTAATCCATCTTAGAAATCGTTCCAAATTGGTTAAAAGAAGCCTATTTGCCATAATTGGTTTGTTACAAGGAGCAAAATCTATCCTTTTGTACTTTATATGGCGTGTGGGGGATGATTTTTATTTAAAAAAATTTCAAATTTTAGAAAAAAATTTTTCCATTTTGTTTTATTTCATTGAACTTTTTTAAATGTTATTACTGCTCCATAAACCTTAAAAGGCAGTCGGAACATTCAGGGCTTCGCCCTGATACGAGCAGTCTTGTTGAATTTCTGTTCAAATATTCCGTCTCTAAAGCAAATGTTGAAGTAATTGATACTGGACTGTTTTCTTACTCGATAGAGTTATTTCAACAAGAATTTAAAACATATATTCTGGAATTTGAGCATGTTCTGTCCGAGTTGACCATCCTACAAAAAATCCACTGTTTTAGAACTTCTCTTACAAAATTGTAGGAAAATTCTCTTATCTTATTACTTTCTTACAAAACTTTGAAAGATGATTTTTCTCAAAATAAATAGATGTTTTGAGAAAACTAAACTTCAAAAAACTGCTTCCGATAAATTTTAAAAAGTTTGAATTTTTTCCCACAATTCCTACAATTTTTTTTCTGGAAAAGCTGTAGGATAAAAATTGTTTCCACAAAAAAACTCCAAACTAAAATCAAATACTTCGCAAGTGCGGCAGAAATTTGTACTTGCATTGAAAAAAAACTGCGGTTTTATTCAAGCGAGAAGTAAAGGAAGTGTGATAAGCATTTTCGGTGTATGGAGGTCAACCCGGGTAGACGGTGCTTAAGATCGATGAGATAGATACAACGTAACAGCCAATGCTCAACGGAAATTTAGTCTGCAGGCGTTAAGTGTCTTTAGTGCGCGGTTGAGGCTTCGATGATGGGCATGCATAATTTTGTTCAAGTTGTTAATGATTACTTATATCTGTAATTTCACTGATTGTGCCATTATAAGAACGAAAAAAAGCAAAAATAGAACTGTACCATCTACTGAATCAGTTCTGCAACATAACTGCGATTCTCATCGCTGAAATTGTGTCTGGGTCTTAGTCAAAGTGGCACTGCACAGATTCTGTCTCCTAGTTATCTGTAGTTTCATTGAAACCTAACTGGAACGGTGGTGATTTTCACTGCGAGACCATTCCGGGCAGTTTTTTAATGTATTCATTCATGATAACTTTTGTACATTATAAAGGGCCATCGATAGCTAGAAAAAGCTACAATACAATTTTTCTTAAGTTGCAAATATGCGATATATCATCATTGAATGGGCGTTGGGAAATATTTTTTTGTCAGTAATGAGTCAGACAAAAGTAACTAAAAACCTTGAAAAACTTGATTTTCCTGCACAAGATTTTGATCGCACAGAAAATTTCAGTACTTGCCCATGCATGCTGTGACTGTGAAATATCAATCTTTTATCAAACTTCGGTCATAACCAATTTTAACTTTGATCACAGATAAAATCAAAAAAAGTATATAGCAAAGAAACGTTCTCAATATAGCAAAAGCAGTGAAAACACAGAGACGATTGTTCCGACCTTTGCAGAATTTTTGTGCTCTGGGCGTTTTTTTCTCCAGACGAATTTCGGCTTTTTACCTACCATTTTAGACGGGGTTTTTATATACCATTCGAAAAGTTTTGTTATCCTGAAATCAAATCTTAAAAAAAGATATACCACTTGATCATTTTTGTAAGATTATGGGGGTAATACGTCGTTCCAAATTGGTTGTAGCAGGCTTTTTGTCAAAAACAACTACCTTATCAGGAGTAAAACTGATCGGTTTAAACCCTACATGGCGTGTGAGAAGATGATTTTTGAAGAAATATCAAAAAGCTTTTAAAAAGTATAAGATTTTTCCATATATATTTTTGAAAGTTTCATCATTACTGTTAAAGCAAACACTGCTCCATAGACTTTGAAAGGCAGTCAGAGTTTTCAGGCTTCGCCTTGATACTCGCATTCAAAGACAACGAAATAATTATCTTAGTGTGGTTTTTTATTAAAACAATTTCTGGTATTCAAAAGAATAGTTTTTGACAAAAACAATTTCTATGAAATCAAACGTAAAAAGGTATTTGATTTTCTATTGTTTTTTTCCAAAGTATTGGAAGATTGAAGTTGCAAAATTGGCCATGCTCTGGACTAAATTATACGCGCTTTGAAGAATTTATTCAAATTGGTGAGAGTGTAACGCGAATTATTAATGCGTGGCGAAGTATCCCGCACAACAAAATTGTTCCAAAGTGAATTGAGGCCAGCTAATCAGTCGTATTAATTATGCACGACTCAAGTTTTCAAGCCGCATTTTTGCTATTTTCCAAAACTCATAGGTTTTCAATATTTTCTTTTCCCAAAGACTCTTTGATATGAATTAAGAGGCCATCGGAACATTCAGAGCTTTACCCTGATATACGATCAGTCTTTTTTGCTTACAAGTTGCCAAAAATTAGTCCCTGACAAGAGTTCAATCACTTTTCTATCGCTGATTTTCTATTTTGTCTACCTTTAGAATGTAAGCCTTCAGGCATTGGACATTGCGTTACTGTATAGAACGTGTATCCGCGATCTCAGGAAGGGTTGCCAGAAATCAAACCGACGGGACTTAAAGCCGAATTATAAAATAAGAGACTTCCAGCCAAATAATTCCTCATAAAAAAGTCGTGAAGTATGATTTTTTGAAGAACTTCTGAATTTCATGATCTTTTTTCACTAGTTATTGGCGTTTGCATAAAATTTAAGCCCCCTAGACGCTTAATCCCCTCAGGAAGCTTATTATATCATTATACTATTATAGCAGTTTAATAAAATGAAAAGCAGAATTCGCACAATTTTTTTTGCTGCCATTACGCTGAAACATTGTTGATAAACTCTTACTGGTCAAACTGATCCAGCACTACAGGCCTACCTTGTGTGGATTTTTTAAAATAGATGGCCCATAGTTGTTTGTGCTTGAGCTATTCTACGGATCTGCATATCTGTAATATTTAAAATTGGAAACAAAGATATATTTCATGTTTTGAGATACTCGGGTCGTGGGGCTTGACATTTGTTTCGACTTTGATTTGGCTCTATGTTTTATCTAACTTGCAACTAAAAGTTTTCAATCGTGGATAACTTTCAGGGATGACTTTGTTCCAGAAAACCAAAAAATCCTGGCTCAATGAAACCAAAAAGGTCCTGGTTCGATAAAACCAAAAAGTCCTGGTCAAACAATGGCTTTTTTCGTGCTCTTAATCCAAAATTTAGTGCATATTGACGCCTGTAGAAACATTTTCAAGTCGATTAGCTGGAAATTTATATGATCTAGAAATGAGCGTATGCGTTGAATTGTAAATGTATAAAATATAAATTGTCAAAAATAGTGAAGAGATTTTGGATGGATATGCGCCAAACACCACCCCCTACCTCTCGCCCACCTTGTGCTAGAGGTTCAACTTTGTGTTTGTCAATATGATCCATCAATAAGAATGTGTCAAGTTTGTTCCATTGAATCGAAAGTTGATGAAGGCGGTTAATATCGTCTATTGTAATTCATGACCAGGGTTTGCGAAAATCACGTGATAAACTTTGACTCTCGTTATCTTTTATCTTCAAAAGTAAATACCTTTAAACCAACCACTTGAACTCGTACACAGAAAGATTTTATTAAGAAGTAAATTACACTCTTAAAGAATATAGAACTGATCTTGTCGTGGGAATAACTGAGCCCTTCTGAATTCTTTTTAAAGTAGCTTCATTTTCTGTACAGATGAAAATGAAAGGCACAGTTTTATTTCTAAGCTTCATTGTGGCTTTAACATCTGCATATAGTGAGTTTTTTAAGTATGAGCCTTGGGCTCTTTTTCCTTTCCCCTCACCTCACATAAACGTCGGTTTCATGGTGTATCGAGTGGTTTTACAAGGTTGAGTATGAAGACTGAATATGTTTCCCATGGCCTTATTAGTCCGTATGCCAAATTTTGTAACAATTTGACAATGTGATCAGAAAAATTACTCTAAAAAACTTACAGGTGGGGGTAAAAGGAAAAAGAGCCGAGCATTTCCAAACAAATTTTAAAATAAATCTTTTTTTTTCTGATAAAACTGTTGTTTTAGCTCTCGTTTCAAAGGTAAGAATAAAATTACAGTCTTAAGAAAAAAAAAATAAATTGATCAAGCATTTTGAGTTGAATTGAACCAGTTTTTTTTTGTTTTGCGGTCCGATAAATGAAAGTTTTTCAGCCTGAAAACTCTCTCTTCAATTCTGACAAACGGGATTTTCATCCGGTCAAAACTGATGAAAAAGTGCCATCTGGAACTTCAAAGCTATCTTCTCATTTTTGCACATGCTCGGGTCAAACATGCACTTGCTGTGCTGACATTCACGAAGAGTCTTTTCATCTGAACGACACGTTGTGTGTTGATGTGGGGTATTTGAAAGAAGATTATGGGTTAAAATTTGAGCTGACATGGGACGGGAGAGCGATCATTTCCGAGGAGATTTCAGGTCGCAATCCTCCCCCGATTTGCGCCGAAATTCCGATACCAAAAGCCGAGGTTAGATCAAACAAAAGCGTTAATGTTCAGTTTGGTGCATGAAAAGTGGCTCATCCGGGTTGTAATCATTATTTTGGAACCATCTGAACTAACAGTGGCATAATCTGGAAAATTTAAGTTTTGATATATGAATTAAAAACAAATTAAAACCCGGTTAAAATGGTTCCCAAACACATAAACAAGACTGCTCGTATCAGGGCGAAGCCCTGAATGTTCCGACTGCCTTTTAAGGTTTATGGAGCAGCGGTAATAACATAAAAAAATTAAATTAAATAAAAGAAAATGAAAGATTTTTTTAATTAAAATTTGAAATTTTTTTAAACAAAAATCATACCCCCACACGCCATTTAAAGTACAAAAAGATAGATTTCGTTCCTTGTAACAAATCAATTATGGCAAATAAGCTTCGTTCAACCAATTTGGAACGATTTAAAAGAAGGATTAAATCTCCGCTTACTCGTTAATAGCGCGAATTATATCGCGCGTTAATTGTCCCAAATTGGTCAAAATGGCCAAAATGGCAATCTTTAAACCCTCATAACTTAACGAAAAATGATCACAGGTGAAATATCTTTTCAAATTTAAGCTCAGGACAACAATACCTTTTGAATGATATAAAAAAAACTCCGTCAAAGATTGCTAGTTAAAAAGTCGAAATTTGTCTGAAGAAAAAAAAACCCACCCCGAGCACAAATATTCCGTTACTTTCGTATCGAAAGTCGGAAAAATAACGCAGCTCCAAAAATGTTGATTATTCTACAGGTTCTTCAGCATTTGAATAAAACTGTTTTTCAAAAACGAGCCAAATTTATTTTAATCACTAATATTAAAGCAAATTTTGTTCTAGAATCTTCTCAGTGCCTGCGTCCGTCTCAGCAACATTTCAATCTCTTCAAACAATTTTGAGACATGCATAAGTGTGAACATCCATGCTGCCATGATAGATGTTCTCACTGTCCAACTCGGATGTCTGTCTATCGGTCACAAAGACCAAGACTGGACGTGCGCCTACCACCACGAGTACACGAAACATGACCACAATTCACGACTTCCCTCGTGTGTGAACAAATGTGAAAAGACACCAACGGTGTACAATTCGAAAGACGAGTCCTCAAAAACGGCTTCAGTGAAACGAGTTCGAAGCAGGAGTTATCAGAAGAATGGTTGTTTTTATGTCAGTAGCGAGAACGGCGTAAATGAGTCGCCGAAGGAAAAGTTTACGAAAGTCGTAGAAAAAGTACAATCTGATTTGTGTATTGTCGGTTGTGTGCCAAACGGCTACATGTAAAAATTGAAAAACCACTCATTTTCAAAACAATATAAATTTATTCTTTGAAAATAAAAACTACTTTGTACCTTGATGGAGCAAAGGGCTGTGATTGTTTGATTATAGTTAGTTATCAATTTTATGGCCATAACAATATTAAATTCTTTGATTGAAAATTCGTCTGACCTGATTCATTTCTGTAACTTGATATATGTCAAAAAGGGTCTTTTTATGAAAAGGAAATGATTCTTGAAAAGGTTTAAATTTTGCAAACAGTTTATTTTTGCAACTAACCTGAAATTGGCAAAAGAAATATCAATGCTCATGTGAAAGGCAAAACAAGGACCCTTGTTTTTTCTTGCGTATCTGTTTCATTAATTGTGGCGTGTTTTGTCCTTCACACATTCCGCTTCTCGTCAATTTAATGGTGTTGTAACAATTACCAGCATCTTTAGCATCAAAAAATAGTTAACCATGCTGAACACTAAATAATCATTTTGATTTTTGGTTCATTTGTGTAACAACTATCCCACGCCATGTGTTTTCCATGATAAAACTTTGGGCTGGAAGAAGAGGCTTGTTCGCGCTTAAATTAATGACGTCATATGGCGCGAAAGTTACCCGCACTGACAAAAATGGTTTCCGGTCGATTTAAATTGTTTTTAAATCGATTTTAAATCGATCCAAATCGATTAACCATGTACGTTTTACGCACTTAAATGGAGTTTAATTCGATTTAAATCGATCTTTTTGAAAATTTTAAATCGATTTAAGTGTCTAAAAAATCGATTTAAATCGATTTCGATGGATTTTACGACTCGCTAACAAGGCAAAAAAACATGCAATTTAAAAAAATAATTGAAATACTTTACTCTTGATTTTTTAAATATAAACACACGTGCCAGATGTTTCAGAATTCAATAAAAATGCAATAAATTTATTAAAAAACTATCATTGTAAATCGGATATTGGGCAAACACCAATGTATTACATAGAGAAAAAATTCGCTAAAAATCAACGTTTGACCTCAAAATTATGCAACGAAAATCTAGAAAATCATCATTGTAAATCAGATTTTGTGCATTAAAATATGTAAAAAATCAAGAAAATTGTCAAAATAAACCAGATAAAGCTAAAACTAGATTTTATAAAACAGACAAAAGGCCTTGGAAATTACTGGCAGGTCCGATTAAAGTCAGTTTGCCATCAAAAATGTTTGCAGATTTTTGAGGTTGTTGAGAACGTTTTTGAAATCATGTTAACCGTAAAATGCTTGCCTGAATTTTCAGATGTCTTTTATTTAATGTTCATCTGTTCAAATTGTCGATGACTTACAGATGTTGAAGCTGGTTTTTAACCCGAGTCTTACAAACTACGAGAGTACATTACCTTTTTGGTGCGCGGACTCGGACGTACAATCAGATACGACCAGAAGTGCGTTGAAAGTTCCGATCAGATATCTCAGAAGTGTGCCAAAGGCGTCGAAAGTTCCTATCCGATATCTCAGAAGCGTTCCAGAGGTGTCAAAAAATCCGAGCAGTTGTCTCAGAAGTGTGTCAGAGGCAACGAAAATTCCGATCAGATATCTCAGAAGTATGTCAGGAATTTTTCGGGAAAAATCGAATAATTTTGTTTTTTTTTTGCAAAACTTTCAAATTTTTGCAAAGTATTCAGGAAAGCGTCTGGTTTCAAAAAAATAGTTTTGAACGACTCAGTAGAAATTTTTTGCCGAGTTTTTGAATTTTTTGAGCCCTATGGTCAAAAAACGCAAAATGATGCAATTTCCTCAGGATATTGTGGTAACTTGAGGCGTTGGTGAAAATAAAAAAGTTTCTGAAAATATTGTAGGGAAAAACTCTATTTTCTCTATTTACTTCTTTTTTGAAAAAAAAAATCCTGAAAATGCAGTGATTCTTATTGAAGCTTTGAGTAGACAAATAAACTAGTCCATTTGACTTTAATTAGCCAAATTCTACCCCCGTACCGTTTTTTAAAACAAAGCGTCTTAGTTTTTGCTGCAACCTTGTTAGCTCAGGGTGTCGCGGGAAGTCAGTTGGCGATTTGCTTGGTTCCCTACCTTTCAAACCCGGTTCGAACCGACTAATGGCTTGCTGCACCACACTTATATGTTTGCCCGCTTCCGAAAGCGTGTATCAAAATCGTGTACATTATTTCCCGGTTTTAAGTTTCGACGCTAACTTTGTAAATGTCTGAAAAACATGTCAGTATCAACTTGATCACAACCTGTCTGACCGAACCGAGGTTGTTATTTGGCACGAAGCCGTTAATAACTATATAAGTAGACATCGTAGTAAAACTTTAACGCATTAGCGGCTGACCAGCTTAAGAAGATTCTATTGAACTACAAACATAATATTTAGGCAATCGTTTACTGTAAACGTGGAGGCACGGAAGGTTTATTTAGTAGGTTGAAAGAGTCGGGTTTACTTGGTTTTCTTAGTTTAGCAGAGTTGACATCCAGAAGAAAGCAGAACCTCACTGAATTGGTGAAAAAGTTTTTACAAGCAAGAATTCGAAGTATATTATTAAGAAAACCACTAAATTAGTAGAACGCAAGCGGCAAGCTATTAGAAACATAACAGTATTGATGTTCCACAATATAAACATTTGATACTACAGTTAAAGTCTCAATCTAATTAGTTTCTTCTTTCAAACAGCAATTTAGTAGAAGTGAGCGAGAGATTTTTTTTCAAAATGACAGAACAAACTGAGTTGAACTAAAAGTGGGAAAACGAAAATAAAAGCCCTAATTGAATCTTGCAAAAAAAATCTCAAAAAAAATAGCTAAATTTGATGAGCATGGGATATTAGCTAATAAAGATGATGAACTCTGCAAATTATTGTAGAGTTTGCTGCATGATGAGATAGGACAAATAAAGTAAAAGAAGAAAAAACCAGTAAAGCTCGCGCTTATAAAGAATCTAATTCCGCTTCAGAGGTCTGTGTCAGGAAAACTAGTCATTCAAAACCATCATCGAAATCGGCGAAGTCAGTGTTCAGTAAGCAAGCTGAATAAAAAAAATTGGCCCCCAGTGAGTGCCGCAAAGAAGTGCTTCTGGCAAAAATGAAGCCGGAAAAATTGGAAAAACGTCAGAAAGCCATCAACGAAGAGCAACAGCATCAAAGAAAATGGAATAAAAAGAACAGAAAATTAAATTTAGCAGAGTTGACATCCAGAAGAAAGCAGAACCTCACTGAATTGGTGAAAAAGTTTTTACAAGCAAGAATTCGAAGTATATTATTAAGAAAACCACTAAATTAGTAGAACGCAAGCGGCAAGCTATTAGAAACATAACAGTATTGATGTTCCACAATATAAACATTTGATACTACAGTTAAAGTCTCAATCTAATTAGTTTCTTCTTTCAAACAGCAATTTAGTAGAAGTGAGCGAGAGATTTTTTTTCAAAATGACAGAACAAACTGAATTGAACTAAAAGTGGGAAAACGAAAATAAAAGCCCTAATTGAATCTTGCAAAAAAAAATCTCAAAAAAATAGCTAAATTTGATGAGCATGGGATATTAGCTAATAAAGATGATGAACTCTGCAAATTATTGTAGAGTTTGCTGCATGATGAGATAGGACAAATAAAGTAAAAGAAGAAAAAACCAGTAAAGCTCGCGCTTATAAAGAATCTAATTCCGCTTCAGAGGTCTGTGTCAGGAAAACTAGTCATTCAAAACCATCATCGAAATCGGCGAAGTCAGTGTTCAGTAAGCAAGCTGAATAAAAAAAATTGGCCCCCAGTGAGTGCCGCAAAGAAGTGCTTCTGGCAAAAATGAAGCCGGAAAAATTGGAAAAACGTCAGAAAGCCATCAACGAAGAGCAACAGCATCAAAGAAAATGGAATAAAAAGAACAGAAAATTAAATTTGAAAAAACCGTCACGAGCAAGATAATCGCTTACGAATGAAAAAAAGACGACTTGAATTGGAACGACTAATCAAACAAAATCGTGACAAAGTAGCTGAAGCATAAGTTCTTGAAACTGAATATCTCAAAGAGTCTGAAGTAGATCAGAATCTCGAGCTAGCTTCGTCGGTTGATTGTAGTTCCCAAAAGGTAAACGATTGAGTTGATCACGCACTAGGTAATCAAAAAAGACCCGACGTAGCTCCATCTTTTTCGAAGCTTATCACAGGTTAAAATACTGAAAATTATACCAATCATTACAGAAATACGTCCCATAGCGGGAAATTCTACTCGGCCATCGCCACCGAGTCAAACTCTTGGTTGTGAGCCAGAAGGTTATCTCTATCAATTAACCGTATAATTTAACGATGGCAATGGAGTCATGCACGCTATACGCGCTAATCCTGAGCTGCCATTTACGAGAAAAAAAATTCAGCCGTAACAGTAGTTACCAATAGTTTGTTGTAATTTCTCTGGACTCCACCTTTCGACCTTGATGCAACATATCCCCGTCCACAATTAATAACGTTACTCGAGCTGTTGGATATTTGCCCGCCATCTCCAATCAATAGTCTGGATACATCCCTAATGCAAATATGTCACAGACACCTGCAAATGTAGTCTGCGGAAACCAAAATTTGCTATCACTTGATATGTATAGCAATCCTGTGGCAGTGAATATCCATTCAGCAGACAATCTTCTGTTTTTAGTCAACACAAATCGCCATTCTCGACAATATTGTCCGTAGTGACCCAATGTAACCCTGGATTAATACGTGATGGTAATACAATCTGGTAAGTTGATGTTTTTCCATCCGTAACGCAATTTCTTATTATCACTTCTCGCAAGTATCAATTGGTGATACAGTGTCCTATGGGCTACCCAATCACAAACATCAGAAAATACCTACGGATAACAGCTGCAACACATTGCCTTCTTTGCCTCCACCTCTTCAGCCACAAGCCGTGACATTAAATGATTCAGTCCAATCATTGTCAACTCAAAATAGGATCCTCTTCCCGAATGGAGGCTGTCTCAGTACAATGACGACCCTCTTCAGCGGCACGAATGGTTCGGCCAGTTTTGAATTACTGTAGACGCAGCCCCTTTGAGTGCTGAAGTGATTTTAAATTAATCAAAAATCCGAGTCTCTGCGGAAAACAAGTTGTGCTTCTCCTGCTTACAAGCGAACCACGTATTCCGGCAGTATACTCAAGCGAAGAAATCCACCAAGTCAGAATATACTTTAGCACCCATATTGTACTTCTCCCTG